CAACAGCAACAACACCACCAGCAGCAGCAGCAGCAGCAGCAGCTGGCCGGATCGAGCTCTCAGAGTCCTAGCACCGGTCCAGCGGCGCCCCGGCCCCTCTACCCTTCCGCTCTAGCCCTGGCTCATCATCGATTCTCTCCGTATCACACGGTCGCCGCCCCCAAGTCCTCCACACCGATCGGATCGTCGCTGTCGCCTTCGCGGAGAGCCACGCCGTCTCCCACCGACAGTCTCGGTAGGGACGTTCAAGATCTGTCGCCGTCGTAGTCGGCGTCTTCGCGGTTCCCGATCGCGGCGCAGTATCACCGGGACCAGCATTCTTTTCGTCGTTCGCCCTGGCGAACGGTGAACGAGGAGGAGGAGGAGGAGGAGGATCAACGGCGCTAAACGATTCGCGCGTGTCTACCGATCTTCGAATCGAAGAAGAAGACGGAGATGGAGATGAAGAATAGGAGACATTTGTATATACGGTACGGTCGTTGTTCAATTCCCTGTACCGCACGTACATATATGCATTCTTAAGCGATCAATCGTATGGCGATCTTTACTATGTATATAGCTATACATACATATACATATATAAATAAATATAATACGTACGAATTCACGAGCCCTAGGTAACATCGACTTCGTTCGTGTAACATAAGTTGTATATTTCGTATCACGACTTATCGTTATCGTTATTTATGTTTCGACTCCGTACTCCGCGACGTTTCCACGATTAAAACTAGCTTAAGCGACGATTCGTTGTCGCCGGTATCGGCGATTACCGTTAGCGTAGAGAGCGTTATATCGTTGATGCTTGTGTTGCGAAGATGCGTACAATATCGCTGTGCAAATTGCCCCCTTGTAAATAAACCCTAATAAACATCTTGTACCAAGTCTACCTACTCCGTATCCATTTCTTTCCTTGCTCTTTCGTGGCGTTCGATCGTTGGAAAGCGTGGCGACGACAGGCCGCGCTCGCGGACGTATCGATCCGTCGCGGCGGTATTGACGCCGAAGGTGTCGTGTCGTCTCCCTTCCGGTGAAAACGGAACTTTTACTCGTGGCGTGACGTTGCGCGTTTCGATTGGTCGCCTCCACAGTGTCCCCCTTGTGTCGTCGGAGCAAGCGTGGCGGTATTTGTTCGGTTAACCGGGGACGGAATCGCAGAACGGTTGGACTAACCGCGAGAATTACAGGGCACGTAAGACAGTGGTCGGTTCCGAATCTCGATTCGAGGAGGATCAAGGAAGGTATTCGAGTGAGAAATCTGGATGGAAGAGGAATATCCGCGAATCGGGGGCAAGCAAGCACTGCGGCGCGTTTTAATGCGAAACGAAGGCATTATAAAGCCATTAGCCGGTGGACGAGTCGGTCTCGACCAGCTCGAGGTGCCGGTTGCGTGC